GCAGTTTTTAGCTTAAAATATGAAAAGTTTTGATTTGGTATTATGCAAAAATAACTTTGAGCATGTTAAGATACGTGCTAGTCGAAGTATACAGATGAGCAATACTGAGGGAGTTTGAAAATGAAGCAGTTTTAGCTTGTTGTTCATTATCATTTCACTCTTCAGATTTTTGAAAGTCATTCAAGTGCTAGAAGATGAATATTTGCGTTTCCATGATATTATTCGACGAAACTTTCTTGATACGCATCATAACCAGACCTGAAAGATGACAATAAGTTGAAACGAACAAATGCAAAGCAAGAAGAGAGAAAGTTAACTGCTAAAATCTTACAAACAGACGTTTACACTTTACGTGTTTCTTTATACGTTTTTTTTACCGTGTTCAATGCGTAATTTTTGATTCAAGTGCAAAAAATTTAATAATTTTCAAAACTGTATGTAACTTATTTGATACAGTGTTATTTTGACAGTATAGTAGGCACAGTAACTTCCTAGTTAATGAAAAAAGACTCAGCTCAAAACAAATAAAATTCAAATAAATAGTAAATAGAAAAAATGTAGGATTATTACCAATTATAAATTATTCTAGAAATTTTAAGCAGAAGTGATTTTGAAAAAAAGACTGTAAAATTGAAGCACTTCAGCAAACTTTTACAATTTTTTCTGCATTTATTTGAAATTTTTCAATACTTCCCGAATCACTTCGTTGGCCGCCAAACCGTCTAGATTTTCGCAGTTTTCAAATAATAGTTTAATAAGTTTTATGACTGTGATTTGTTGCAGACCATGTGGTCTCACAGTGCTGCAGACTAAAACTCGGCATTGAAATAAACCAAGCAACCTATTAACTTTAAGCGGAAAATGAGGAGATTATCGGTGCAAAAGAACCTCTATAAGTTTCTACTTAAAACTTTAAGTTTCTTATCAATTTTCACCACTGCGGTGGAAATTGATAAGAAACTTAGAGTTATCGTACGCAAAAGTCAAGGACGACTGCTTCTGCTTTAGAGATCAGTATGAGATATGCTTCAATGATAAGCTCTCACCTCCCTATTGTCTTATTGATAAGCCGTTTAACTACTCTCATCGACCGTTCGTAGTAACTTCTCTGTCGTAGCACTGAGGGGATAATAAAATGCCAGTTTATGTGGCACTTGGTCAACTACAACTGTTCAGTTTTCTCGAGTCCCGTTTTGGTTTCTGAAAAAAGTGAGTGGGCGAGTAGCTCATTTAAATACTTTTTTAATGCTGAAACAAATAACCATTTGTAACCTCCTTTTAAGGGGAAATCGTCTAAGACAGTTTGCAAACCCCTCAGATTACAAGTCGGGTACTAATTCCAAGCAAATTGCTTTTGCGATTAAGCAGCTAGAAAGAAAAACTCCAAAACCTATCCTTCAGGCTTTTTGAATTTTTCTTACTTTTGCTAACATTTTATTTGAAATAAACCACAGATTTCTGTCGTACTGCAATTGAATAATTACTTGATGAAGCAGTGAACAAAAAAGATTTCTGCTTTTTAAAAAACGTTTTTCGGGAACTGATCGCCAGAAGCAATAGAATTATAATTACAGAAAATGTATGTGGTACATTCAGAAAAATATCAAAACTTTATCGTTTAATTCGCAATAAATTTTGAAAAATTCAAAGAACTTATTGATAATTTTTAGCTTTACTGACATTCGTTCGCTTTTTACAGAAAAAGAATATCTTTTCATTTTTCAAAAAAATTGTTGAATTTAAATTACTAAATACCGTTCTAGATTTTTGGTTTCAGCTTTGTAAATTCACATATTTCGGCAGGTTGTTGGCCAAAAGCTAAAAAATTTCAAACTTTTAATATATCTTTCAATAAAACGTCTGTATTTTAATTTTTACTGCTCTAAGCAATGTCCACAAACTTTCTGTTTTACTGGAAGACTTAGGCAAGCACGAGTTTTTATGAGCTGCATTAATTGGTGGGCTAGTGAAATTTTCACATCTGGTATTCCAATATTTATTCTTCAATTTAATTACCATGAAAACTCCCCTCAGTTCAGACGTAAACAGCGACTTATGCTTCTTTTAAATGCTGAAGTTAAACAAATGCAGTAGTGAAGAACATTAATAAATAATTACTTTTTGTTTCATTCTGCTGAGCGGTATCGGTTTAACTGGACAATATCAGAGAGTAATCTCTGAGTTGCGCATTAAAAACCCATTGAATGTTTCTAATGGAAAAAAGGGTTAAATGTTCAACGAGCACCCAGTAGCTGAAAAAACTCGTGCATCTCCTGCTCCTAAAAAACCGAGTACCTCTCAACAGCTTTCTCCAAGCACCTGAACACGAAAACTCATTTTACCAATGACCGTTTTTGTACATATTAATTTTCATGTGCACTATCTTCCTAAACAGTGAACAGAACATCAGAAAATTGAGAGCAACTAAGATTTTGGTAACGCAGTAACTGGCAACTGCGAGCAAACTGTTTAGACTAAAAAATAGTTTATCAAACTAGTGCTCTGTTTGAGGCTAACTTTACGTATCCTTTCTCAAAGAATTTATTCGAGCGTTTCAGTTATGGTTAACCAAGTCCAAAAGATAAAATTTCATTCCAAAGCAAAAGAAAAAAAAAAAGAGAATAATAAGTCAAAAAAGATAATATAGGAAACGACCTTTGAAATAAAAAGACAGAATTTGATTGATCGTTTTCTCGACTCACAAAGACCAACTCTCCGGACGTTTGCTGCAAGAATAGGAACGAAAAAATCTCTACTCCGGAATTTGTAACAGATAAGAAAATATATAAAAAAGATGCTACTGTTTGCTGAAACCATTAGCCAAAGAGATAGAAGTACCGCAACGACGATAACAATGAGCTACGGAGAGTTTTATGTCCTTAAAAAGCTCTCCATCACAGCGTGTGAGAACTATTCTTGGAAACAATTCTTTGATTTGAACCTTTCTTCTTCTGGAGCTACTTGCTCAGCATAACTACAAATTCTTTATTTGAATTATGCTGCATCCGCGACACAAATAAAATTACACATATATGACATCATTTTAAATTAACTACTCTACAACTCATTAGTAAATAATATGCATCTGCTGTTCCCTCTCAAAATGCCTAGAAAGTTGAATCAGAAATTAGACATCTGCTGCACTTGACGCTCACACACTCCTGATTTCCGCACCTCTCCAGTTTGACATCTATAGTAGCCAACGATCCGATTTCGCTCTCCTTCAACTTGCTTACTTCCATATTTCCACCAAAAACGACGTCCTTTTTCTTCAGTAGTCTCATCATCTGAAAAGCAAACAAAAAGCCGTTGGATCTATCGAGACAAAACCGTTGAGCGTAGTAAACGACATTCCTTTTCTAGGCTTTTACGAAATCCTGTTCTATGTCTCCTCAAACTCTTTCTGCACTCTACTCATTTACTACTCAACTACTCGTCAACGATCTTTAATGAATGAACAAAGGCAGCGTAAATCACTTGATTACTAACCGACTGGAAATCAAAGCCTCACATCTTTTTTAGCTGTAACCGCGACTCAGAAGCAGTCTACAAATTAAATTTGCCTAACCAACCAGAGCAAGCCATACCCTTCTCGAGTTCAATGCCCGTCACTTCCAAATTATTAACCCACAGAATTGTATTAAAGCTTTCAGAGCGCAGAAAGCAAGTGAGACTATAGATGTAACTGCCGCCACCTCCATTCAAACCACAAATAGCACTTCAGTTAATTAAATTTCAGTAGAACCTAACATCATATTTAACTGCTTTATTCCCATAAATTAGAACCTATACAAACATCTTTCAAATTATGACTAAAATACATCCTACGTGTCAGAAGAAAAAAATGAAAAAAAAAGTAGAGAACACTTCTTATATCTTCATACTCCCCCGAAGTCTAGATTTACGCTAGCGCAATACCAATCATAAATTTTGAACTATGACTTCGGAGCATTTACACAAAAGAGTATGAAACTTTAGCGAGGGCATAAAGTTTAACTGCGTATTCAAACGAATAACAACTCAAATAATCTCCATAAAAAATAAACAAATCATCTCACTAAGAAAATACAGACTCTCTTTATAACCATAATACGATATAAAAACAACAACTTGCAAAGAAGAAATTTTTGCATAAAACAAGCAAGAGAAGAACTCGCGAAACTGATGGCAATTGTGAGCCCTAAACAATGTCATGAAACTGTCTCAAGAAAAACTTCCCAGTACCCATTTGCCCCACTCTTCAGAAAGAAGCATAATCGTGACAAGAACCTACCAATAATTAAATCATGTTACCACTCACTCCTTCTTCTACTGCCGTAAAAAATGAGATACATACATTAGCGCAAGCCGTTTAGATGTTATTAACAAGCAACAAGACTAGCATGAGCAAAAGAACTATGATAGTGACAAATCAAAAAATGATTTTTATATTCAAGCCCAAAAAACAAAATGAGAACCAAAAATCAAACAAGTATTTGTAAGATCCAAGACTTATCTTGCATTACAATGACATACATTATATTCAGAAAGACAGTTCTTAAAACTAATTTCCAAAGCTATCAAACAATCACATACTTTTTCAATTACCACAAGCTTAAGAGTAAAAACAGCTTTACCGAGATGCGAATGTCAAAGTCTGCACGGCCGTTTTCTAGAAAAACTCGTGTCCATCGCAAATGACTCTTCAATTTTACAGCAGGCAAAAACCAAAAGCCAAACAGCCTGCCATAAAAAACACTGAAAAAAATATTAAAAGATCAATAAAAGCGTCATGCAACATTTTCTGGTTAAGATCTTCTAAGAAAATTTAGACTCAACAACCCAGTTCTGAAACAACAAAACAGACAGGCTCTATCAAAGCCAATTCCACATACTTAGGTGAAACAAATCACTGTTTTCAGAATATCTAATAATCATAACAAAAAATAACCAAAAAAAAATTAAAAAGTAAACAATTTTAAGGGAAATTTAAGGGAAAACTAATTTATTTTTGATGTTACCTAATTCACATTGACTGGAGCTTGATTTTCAGGAAATAAGGACGCAAAAAAGCCACTTATGAAAGCATAACAAGTAGACCAAAATATTGACCACGCAGACGGCTCACGAAAATCATTTGGATCAACATTCGGTCTGACACTTTCTTCTTCATCAGAAACGCCGCTGTCTTCATTTTCTGGTTCCTCCGCCTATAGCACTTTTTTTCAAATGATGAGAAGGATAACAAGGGTTTGGCAGGAAACAAAAAGCTATTCCAACTAGTCTCAAGAAAGAGAAAAACCTATAAACCCCAAAATTCACCTGAGGCTGTTGGCGAACATCATTAACCGCTTGAGCTACTTCCCTTTCATCTCTTACTCTACCATTACGATCACGGCGTGCTTGTATAAACCAAGCGATTAAAAGGAAAAAGAGAACACCGACAAAACGTTCCACAGAAGAATAGACGTATACTAACATAACCAAAAAGCACAACCGAATTGCCTGGAAGTACCAAGTAAATAAAGTAGTGAGTTTCGCAACCTTTAGTAACATGATATGCAAGATATCTGCTATCTTGTCCTGCAAAGTACTGAAGCCATTGCTTATTATAAATTTGAAATTGACATGAATCAGATTATCCATGCCTCAATGCTTTACAAATTCCATTGCATCAAAACAATTCATTTGATCCATAAAAATAACCCTCTTAAAGTAAGAACAAATCAATATACCTTGTATACAATGTCTAAAAAATCTCTTTGAGGAGCGTCCACATCTCCGATAATTGCATTTTGGGCCATACCACCCGCTGCCGCATTCTGTATTTCCGGAGGTGCCTGTACATTAAAGGATTTTTCACATCATAAAAGTTCTGACAATCAAATTAACTACAAAGGAAGAATGACTACAGTACCCAAAAGCACCGAAAAAGAGATACAGCAGTATAAGCAGCCAAGTAAAAGTTTAAGGAAATTAAGGAAATGAAATGTACTCAACTCTTAGCAGCTTTTAGCAAACTTTCCATTAATATCACTTAACTTCGTCTTCTAGGAACCTTTCAAATTACGTCAAAGGAAGATGTTTTTACTAGAAACTTTCAAACGTTTTGTATTGATAAGCTCAAAAGCTATACCTGTTGCTGCCGCTGTGGCTGCTGCTGTTGTGCTAACCTTGGCATCTGAGGGAAGGGATAATACTGATTAGGATTATATGCCTGAGGAAATACAAATGGTGACTGAACGCCACCATTGTAATTCGACCACATCTGCTGCATACTGGAAAGTTACGAATTTTAGGTCTAAATTCATTTGAAATATCATTTTGTAGTAGTTGAAAAGTTACAGCATATGATGTAAAAAAAGTTTCCTGTCGTTATTAAACAAATTAATTAAGAAACTTTAAAGAACCAAGAAAACGGCACCTACTAGGTATAATAAGAGTACATATAAGCATTATATATGTTTTGGAAATTTGCATCCACTTGAACACCACTCGGCATCTGATATACATTATGCTGAGTGGAACCTGCCCAAGCATTTGTGTTCGGAGTGGAAACACCTGCGGGATCTCTTTGCCCGGTAACATTGGATGCTGCATTACTCCCACTGTGAGAGCCAACTGCATTAGTATTGCTTTTCACTCTAAACAACTTTTTTTGGTAAAATTCAAGGATTTATGCCCGATGATAGCTACGAAGTATTTAGAAGGCCGCCGAAGTAATACTCCTCAAAAGAAAACAGAAAAACCCAAAAATATACTGCAAAGTGATAAGATTTACAGAAAAATAATGTTGTCAGAATGTATATAAATTAAATTTATAGTATGCATATTACTTCTCCAGATCTTAATTTCTAAATTTCTAAGAAACTTTGAAGAACAGTAGAACGATACCGACCAAATGCAATGGAAGAATGCACTTTTGGCATATCAAAATCTGTTGAAATACTTTACAAAAGTTTCTGATAAGAAAAACAACGTTCATAATTATGACAAAAGCTGCTAGAATATGACAATGGGAAGTAATAGTTCAAGATTAAAGATAAAAAAGAATGATTGTTATAACGTTTATATTAGTCTCTACATACCCTGTTCTTTGGGTCTTCCGTTTCCTTAAACCAAAATCTGCATATTCTTTCGGAGGACACACTAGATGTAACACTCTTACTTCCTCTTCAGGACGGTTCTCAAAAACCGAACGGAGGGTCCTAGCATCTTGAAGACAATGACCTGCATAAATCAGTCGCTGGCGTGATGCCTCCTGAAAAAAAAGAATACGTCGCACCACTTTGAGACTATCATCACATTTGTCAACAGGAAAAAATACCGCTTATAACAACAAATGTGAATAAAAAGCGTTGCGAACTTTTATCTAAACAGGTAAGCAACGCATTATTATCACTAAACTAGCAGGTATGTTGATTGCAGTTTGAAGAACGAAAAAATCTGTTCATTAATACATTCGCTGAAGATGCAGGAACTTCGTTACTGAAAGGTCTGACGACTTGTAATTTACATGTCATTAGCGATCCACAAAACATCGCCAAGAAATTCTTCACCTACACGCTGACGAGTGAATATGAGATGCTAGCAATGTTCGGGAGAGGCAATTAAAAGAAATGCCAGAAGAAAAAACAAATTAAAAACTAACTATGTTACCTCGATTGTTAAATTATTTGACAAGATAGGGTTGAGCTAGGTTAAAAGTACTAAATATAAATCAAATATATTCTTAAAAGTTAAACTGGTGCTAAATAAACTACTTTTTACCAATTGAAGGCTAAAACTCATAAAGTCTCTTACGGCCAATCTTGGCAAAAACGGAGACAATGGTTTAAAACCTTCTAGTCTTTCTGGAAGATGAAGCTAGTACCAACGCCCATAGAAAATCTTAACGCAGTAATTAAAACCTTAAAACAATTATAATATTTCGAGGCAGAACTGTAAAGGTTCGGTCCAAAATGTTCGAAAGAAGATGATAATCAGCTGCTTCTAATGTAAAACAGGTCAGATGTTCAACGAGCGCCTAACAGTAAAAAAATCTCGTGCCTCTCCCGTTTTCAAGAAGAGTGAATACCTCTCAACAGCCACCAATTTCCTCACCCATCCGAACAGAAAAACGGATTCCATCAAAAGTGGTATTTTTAAACGATAGTTTTCATATGCAATATCTTCCAAAACAGTGAATAAAACACCAGAAAATCAACAGTATCTAGGATTCAATAACGTAATGATTGGGAACTGTGAAAATAACAACATGTTAAAAATCTACCAGAACAAATTCAAAAAGTTCATCCCCAATCTAACACTCTGTTCAAAAAAACGTAAAAAATGACAAAAAAAAAAAAATGACTAACAGAAAATACTTTTCCCTTGTGCTTCTTTAAAACAGAAAAATCCTGTTATTTCAACAAAAAAAAAAAACTTTTTTCATTTCAACTAAAAGGCATACTCATACGCAACCTAAAAATTCCTTGAAGAACGAAAAAGACAGCAAGAAAATCTTACGGGTTTAGATGAGCAAACGACAGACAGTTCCTGTTTCAGCCTTTGCACAGTCCATTCTAAAGGACATCTGATCGGCGTATCGTCGAAAGATTGCAAGGCACATTTAATGATTAAATTAACTTCCTCCGTTATTTCCTCAGTCATTCTGCGTCTATATATAAAGTTTTCCTGTCAATAAAAAAAACCACATG